GCTCTTATGAGAAAAGGAAAAAAAGCTCATTTGAACTTTTCTTTTTAAAAAATACTTTTTCATAGATGGTCTTAATAGAATCCTGCTGATCTGAGAGTTGTCTGACATTGTAACTGCCATGTGACATTACAAGGAACTATGTGCTGCAGCATCAAGTTTACTTTCCTGTAGTAAGCACTTATTTAAACTGATTCACAGATTTTCAATTTTCAGGAATTAGGTGATCTTCAAAAAATATTATGATGGCAAGTGTGTATATGAGGTGGTTAACCTTAAAATAGTGCCATTGAGACTGTGTTGGGCATCTTTATCACTAGTTGGGGGGGTTTCTGAATAGTTCACTGTTATCATTTATGTACCTTTTCTAACTATGAAAGAAAAATCCCTTGATATTTTATTAAAAAAAGAAATTATTTAAAAAGCTATATTTTTTATATTCTATGAGGGGAAGGTTTTGATATTGAATTTGGCTAGAACTAAAAATTACTCCAATCTTTTGACATTTAATAAACTTCTTTTCCACTCTTCTCAGGGCAGAATTATTGTAGTACTCACAGCATAATGATTGCACTATGGTGGTGGCGATTTCTTTTTCCTACTCAACAATGAGAATAAGTGAAAATCCATGGACCTGTCTTAATTAATTTGCTCTATTGCTAAGCATGACCTGAGCATTAAGCCATTTAAACATGAGCTTAAATGGCATCTCCCCTTTCCTTCTCCCTTCCACTAGGAAACATCTCTGAAAAGTATAGTATATTGACTTCTGTAAAACTGCCAAGTCTGCCCTTGTACTATACTTTTGCTCCTTTTCATCTTTCCTGGTTTGCAAAATAAACTTAAGTTGCATCACGGTGTTATGCCTTTGTCCCCTCCTCCACCTCCCATTCCCTTTGTCCCTCACTGAGTTTCATTTCCTTCATGCCATACACTTGATTTTAGGTTTGCTTTCTGCTTTCCAAAAGTCTGCAGTCTTCTTAACTTTTGATTCACCTTATGAAGTTGTGTTGTCAATGAAATTTCAAGTCCCCAGTATCTCTAGCTGTGATTGTTGACAGTGTGTCATGATCATTTCAAGGGGTATTCACACACTCTTTACTCTGGATCTTGCAAAAATGGATACAGTTATGATTTCCCATGGAAATTGAAATCTATTTAAGTAATTTAACTATATTAAACACTGTTTCACTGGTGATGTGTCTCTGTTTTATTTTAGCTGCAGCTGGCTGGTGGGATGACACTTAAAGTTGTGTAGGAGATGCTGGATCTGCAAATAGAAACATCCAGGTCTTGTCTGGCACTGATGGATGCCCTGGTCCTTTGCACTGCCCCAGGATGGAGCCCCAAGGGCTTGGCTACCCAGCAAACATCCCCTGGGCCCTTCCAGGGCTCCCAGCTGCCCCTGCAATCAGTCTCAGGGCAGCTGACAACATAAACCAGCATAACTGAACAGCTTACATGTGTGTGTCCTATTTAAAAAGAAGTTTGTATTTACAAAAGCACATCACCTTTGCCAAAGAGTACCCCAGGTATGGTACTTGTCCTCTCAAGGACACTGGAAGGAGACAGCACTGCCGCCAATGCAACATTTTCAATCTTTACACGTAAAAGTAAACACTACACATGACTGTTCCAATTAACAGGAGCCTCAGGTAGAGCTGAGAAACAAAACCCCACAGCTTCCAGCTGACTTCTTTTAGTTGAGAAGACATTACACAGGCAGCTGAAAATGAAATGCCCTGCAATCTGTTATAGGTTAGGAGGGATTTTATGAGTGTACTGAGAACACAGCTGCAGGAACAAAAAGCAGTGAAGTATTTAAGGTACCAGTCTTTATGAAAAATGGAGGAGAACTATTTAATATTTTCTGTGCTCTCCTACATAATCATACAAACAGCAGTTTAGGACATTGCCTGATGGAAGCAACTTTTTTAAACTATCTGTAGAAGGGTATTCCCCTGGGCTGGGAAGGCAGGAGTCTCCAATGCTGTGTCCTCTCATTTCAATTACTGTACACAGACTGGCTGGATAGTTTTCCCCAAATGCATCTTTTTCCCACCCAGAAAGCATTTTGATGAATTTTAGGTGTTTAGCCACTTCTCCCCAACACAGATCTGACTACCTCAAGTATCTGCCTACACTTAATAAAATTATACATTTGGGACACACTGAATTTCTTAGATGTGTGCCCTCCACTGCAAATATCTCCAGCCTGGCTGTTTATGTGTTACACAACGTCCACAGACACCAACACCTGGCCAAAAAGTATGCCCAGAGGCAAATATTTTCATTCTGTTGAGTTTCCCAACTGCTCCTCAGGGCACCATAACTTCCAGACTGAAGTTTAGGAGTTGAAGCTTGGGATGCTGCTGGGAAAAGGGCAGCTCAGCTGTTTTAAAGCTGAGAAAACTCAAGTTTCCTTGCTCTTGACCCACTTCGTCCTTGCAAGGAAAGGAGCAAGTAGGCTCTGGGGAGGTGGGGGAGGACTGAGAAAATTGAGTTTCAGGCCGGATGGGGGGCAGGAGCAGCAACATTTTCCTGCCTTTGGGAGCCCGAGAGTTTCCTGTGAAAAGCAGAGGTGGCTGCACTGCTGGGGCCAGCCCTGTCCCGAGGCTCCCCTGGGAAAAGGGCTGGGAAAGGGGCGGGGGTGGCAGCAGGGAGTTCCCGCAGCAGGAGAGCCCAGCACTGACACGCCCACAGGGGCAGCGCGGCACTGGCATTCCAGTAAAAATCGCCAGGGGAAAACAGCTGCAGTCAGCTTCCCCCAGAGACCTCTTAACAACTTCAGATGCAAATAACTATTGCCATCTACTGGAAATGGCGTTACACACCTACCTTTCTAAGTCAGGCAAGCCTTTGGTCATTCCTTCCTGAAAGCAAATGCAGTGACACCTTATTGAAAGATAAACATTCCATGGTGGACACTCCTTTATAAATACAGCATGAAATGGGCTCTGCTGCTACTAAATCCCACAGAACAATCATGCAACTACAAATGGTAATCTGTACTTCACATTAAAGTAAAGCCTGTTGTTCAACAGAGTAATCAACTTTCCTAAATTCATCTTCCTAAGTCTGGTAACTCGGGTATCTGGTAAAATCAGCAGGGAAGCCCCTGCCTGAGTGTTGAGTTTGTGTAAGCAAAAAGGAAATCCTGGGAATTTTCAGTAAATGTTCACCTCCAGCCTGGCCTGCTGTATCTCTGTTCTGATCTCACACCAAGATGTCAGCAAGTTCTAATATTACAAACTCAACCATGCTAAGAAGCTGTGGTTTTAGCATCTAGTAATACCACATAATGAAGAACAGTCATGCTCATTAACTTTTCAATGTGAAATGGGATTTTTATCAGTGCTATAAAAGCAGGCAAACAAAACCCCAACTGTTTTCTGTTACACTGGCAGTTGCATTTGTTCATTATACCTGCTAATCAGCAATTAGTTTAATGCTAGCATAACTGGAATGGAATAATGGCTCCAGATGCTATGACAAAGGAAGTTTTCATTCCTTAAAAATGGATCTTTGGGAATAGCAGGAAGGGACGGTGCCTCAGAGAAAACAAAATTCTCTGCCAACATATAAACCAAGAAATGATGCAACAAGAAATTCTTATGTGCACAACAACCTGAGTTAAAATCTTAGCAATACTTAAGACATTCATAGTAGCTTCCCTGCTTATCAATGGAGGTGAAAATACAGGTATAAGGGTTCTTCTAGACACTGTAAGCAAAACAAAACCTGGTTTTATACTTCAAACATAATACCTCTATTTTTTAATCACTGATTTTAAATACAAAGGACTGCTCTTCACCTTTTCAGAATGGTGCACTGGATGCTAATACAAACCATTCTGGGTGCTAAGTAAGGGCTGTTTGCTGCTCATGTTCATGAACACCTTCTTCTTCCCTGTCTCTAAGTGGGGAGGGAAGAGAATTAACTGAGGAGCACCAACCCTGGAGCCTGCACACCAGGGACTCCAAAGCTCCACCTCAGGCAGCAGCCTGAGACACAGCACTTCCCACTGCAGTTTGTTTCTCTAATTCTTCTTGGTTGTATTATGCACAATTTTCTTCACTAATACTCCATCTATTTAAAAAGAAAATAAGATAGCCAGTTCCTTTTTTCCTGGCCATAAAATCTGCACTAAGTAATTTATTAAAAACATAACGTTTTGGTATGAAATATCCAAGAAAATTTGCCTGGGCCAACATTCCACAGCACAGCAAAGCTCTGCCCATTCCCAAATCCAGCAACACAAGGGCACAGAACCTCTCTGCCATTAAGGTTGATTAAAACTTGTAGATAAAAACTTACCTCTATTTGTCCATTATAAAACATCATAAATAACTGTAATATAAAAACAAATATATAAAATAAATATAAATAAATATAAAAATAAATATAAATAACTGTAATATAAAAATAAATAAATATAAATAAAAAATAAATATAAATATAAAATAAATAACTGTAATATAAAAATAAAACCCCAGTGTAAGTGATGGTGGCCCTCCATGGTTGGTTGGAGTTTGCTGGTTGATTCACCAGCTTTAGCAGCATACAACTGTTCTCTCAACTCAATCACAGAAGTTTTATCGCAGCACAAGAACACCCAACCCATAAAGCCCAAAGAACCAACACAATCCCTGTAATTTCTTGTTTAAGCTAATCAGACTGGTTTATTATTTTCCTGTCACCAGCTGTCTGTCTCAGGTTTGAGCTAATTATTCATCCATTTCTGAGAGTAAGGAAGAATATATAAAAAAACCAGTATTCCAACAAGTACAAGTCACTCCATTTACTCACCAATCTCTTCTCCTTCAACCCTTCCAGAGTCCAAACACATGAAGTGTGCCAGAATCCTGGTTATTGGCAGAACTTTTTGAATAATTACAAAAAATGTACCCTATCTACATAAATCAATTTCAAAGAATAATTAAAAGAAAATCATAAATGAAAACACATTAAAGAACTTACAGCACAAGACAAAGCACCACAGGTGAAGCCAATCCCTAGAAACTGAGTTTCCAGGTTACATTTTAATTAAGAAAACATTCACATACATGTCAATGTGAAATAAAACATTCCAAAATTTAGTATCTTACATATGCCACATCTAGTTTGCTAATATGCAATAGCATTATTATTATTATTTATTTAGCCTATTCCCTACTGCCTCACAAAGGCAAAACTGACCTTGGAAGTGAAAGGCTTGCACAATATGCAGAACATACTCTACACATTCCTCCGTTAATGTACAAATGTGCTTCCACACTACCATCAGATAATGTGATCATGAAATACCATCAGATAATTCCACATCAGATTACCTCCATGAATGTATGAATGAAGCTTTTTTATGCCACCAGTTCATATTCTACATACATTTCACTGCATGGACATACGTCACTCTCCTCCTCTAGTCCCACAATCTTTTGTGTCCTTTTCAAGAAAATAAAAAAAAATAATTAAAAAAAGGTTCAACCACCAAGTGTAGAATGTCCACAGGCATCTTACACCGACTTATTAAAAATAAAAGAAAAAAATCAAAGCCCCATTCAGACAGCTTCTTTTGGAGAACAGCTTTACATTCCTGAGAGTAAGGAGTGGAAGCAGACTGGTGTCAGACGTTGTAGTCAGGGGCCTTGCCCTGGGGCTGCCGCAGGCGGATCTGCAGCGTGCACAGGGCGCCCACGGTGACGTGGAAGAAGAGCTGCCACAGGTTGCGCAGCTCGTACAGGTACAGGTTACACAGGCAGATCAGGCCAAACGTCAGGAAGGACTTGGCATTCCTCCAGCCTGTGTAGTACACAAACAGGTAACACTGCCAGGAGACAGAAAACAAATCAGGTTATCTCATGGAAAGTAACTTCTACTGAAGAAAAACTGTCAGGTCACTGAAAAATTACAGCCCAAACCAAGGAAAAGTCTGAATCACGCATGGAAGAACGGTATCAATTCAGCAGCCATAGAAGGATGAGGAGTACCTGATACCAATACAAGGTTACATCTGCCTTGCATTAAACCCTGAGAACAATTAATAACTAATTACAGCCTGACATGAGTGGCCCATGACTAAAGATAGTGGATGTTCCTGGCAATCTCTGGTCAAAATAAACTCTGCTCTACTCAAGCAGTGCAGAAGGAACAAGAGAAGGAAAGGAAAGCAATGGGAAGGTCAGGGCCAATAGCAGGGCCCCAGAGCCCAGCACAAGCAATCCCCCAGACAGCTCCCATGTCCTGCCAGGGGGGATGCTCAGGGTCTCCTGGCAGATGGAGAGGCTCAAATCCACTGCCCTGCTTCAGCTGCTGCAGGACTGATCACATCTGGAGAGACACACAAGTACTCTCCTGCAATTTTAGGCAATGTTTTGCACACTGTGGTGTAACACAGTCTGTCAGGACTGCCCACAGTTCCCTACCCAGCCCTCTTCCTACTGTAACTGGCAATCTGCTCAAGTCTTTTCTCTCAGTTTTCATCTCTAAAAGGACAAAGCTTTTACCCAGACATTATTTTTATTTCTTCTATTGTTTGAACTACTCCCTTAACTGCTACAAAATCAAAAAATTCCTTTGCTCCTTCCCTGGATTCAGGTCATTTCTGCTGAAGGAAGTTTTTTTTCTGAGCTTTAAGGCAGATAACAATAGTATTTATGCTTACTTTCTATTCCAAATCTGTTCCCAGTGGATTTACAACTATGGTCACACAGATTTAACAGCATCTATCATCAGATTATCTAAATGCCATTTCTGTTCTTCCTGGGCATTTGCCATGTTTTATCAGTCAAAAAAACTCCACTTAATTTTCTTTTCATTTTTCATGTTCCTCAAAAAAAGGGCAACTAAACAATACAATTTATTGAGGTTACTTTATATTCTATTTGAACTCTACCACTTTGTTATAAAGCATGCATTTCCACTGCAAGTGCGGCTGAGAGCAGCACAGCTACTTGTAGTGTCTGGGTATCTAAATATTGTCAGAGAGGTGAGGACTGGCATTATCAGTAAGATTTGTATGTTCTTCCTCCAAAGCAAAGTAAAACTAGAGATTGGTAATCTGCATGTTCCAGAATCTAGACAGAAATGTTCTGAACCTGCTTGGCCATTTTGAGGAGAGTAAATGCAACCTGCTTGTGCTGACAACTTCACAAATCATATCTAAAAGAGCAATTAGTTGGCACTGGTATCTCAGCAATAAGAATTCAGATAATTTCCTAGTGTTGTCACTCCTGCTGACAATGCACAAACAAGTGTGACTGCTTCCAAGATTAAAATAAGAGTCAGGATATGCTTCATCAAAACGATTAATAAAGGCTTGAAAACAGTGGTTTAAAAATGTTACTATAACATGATGTCCAATGACTGAATTTTACTGAAGAACTGGAAGTGGATCTTTCATTTCCACTTTTCACTTTCTGAAGTTGATCTTTCATTGGTCTAGCTCTGAACTACTGGATGTGCCCCTTACAGAACAGATGAAAATGCCAAAAAACTGTCAAAAGGCCAAAACAATGCAGCTTTAACAGCTTTCTGTAACAAGTACTGTTAAGAAACTCCTGAGGGTTGTTTTTCTACTCCTAAAGGGAAGTGTTATATTGAGCATGCTTTTATGGAGAAGGCTCCTCTGTGCTACTTCAAAGATTTTGATTTTTGATTTTTTTTTTCTTTTTAATTCATGTTAAGAGATGACTGAAGGCTCAGCTTCTGACACTTTGCACTTGTACAACTGAGGCAGTTATTACTTTTCCTCCTTTATAAAAGACTAGAAACTATGAAGCATCACTAGACATGTCAGTGAGTCTAAAACATCATATTCCATGTAAGACCGGTTCTTTTGCCTGCACAGTTACAAACATTTCTTGGGAACCAGAGACACACTTCTGTGTTGTAATTAATTGAACAGGACAACACAGCATGATGGACAGCTGGTGGGTGAATGACAGTGAAATGGGCTGCCATACAGCACAGGGAATTAATGTCCTGAGCTCTTAACTGTAGCCAGAGAACATCAGAACATGCCAGAGAAACAACATCCCTCAATTCTGAAAACTGACCCATCACATATTACAGGAATGACACCAGAGGGTAGGAAAGAGAGTTTCAACAGGTGTATTTTGGATATTAATAAAAAGTCTACATTCCAAGTTGCATGGATTCCTTCTTTCAGACAGCTCTGTTCCTAGAGGCAAACAGTGCAGGAAAGATGTCTCACTGGACAGACAAGAATACTTTATAAAGAATAAGGTTTCCAGCTTGGGAAAGGAGGGGAAAAGTGTATTTTTTATATGAAAAAGAATGGAGAAGCTCTACCTTATCTGATATGGAACAGACAGTTTGCATGGAAAATCAACACCAATCTAAATTATTTAAGGCAGAAGTTAATGCAAAGTCAACAAGTGTTGGAGAACACAGGTTGCACTGGGACATTTTGCTAGAAATAAATTGTAAAGAATGAAGATTACAGATAACAAGACAAAAGACTGATAGAAAAGCATTTTCTTATATTACTGTCTGACACAGCACTAAACACTGGCCCACAGAAACAAGCAAAAACTGGATACTCCACAAGACTAAGATTAAAAGTCAAAGTAATTATAATAACTGCAACTGAGCATGAGACACAAACAGAGGTTAATGTAACAGCAGTGTCACTGAATGACAGATGCCAGTGGCACCTTGCTATAAATAATAAAGGAAAGTCAAATTCAGATGCAATAATGGAAAGCTGACAGAGAAGAAAAGCAAGAAGTGTCAGGCAGGAAAAATGAAAAGCAGCCACAAGCTTTGAAAAGAAGGAGATGCACATTAAAGTAGAGAGTGAGGAAAATTCTGGGGTGCAGAATTATCAAGAAAATAATATAACCTCCACTGCTTGTGACTTAAGAGATAATTGTTTTAATTAAATGTCTTAATCATCCAGCTGGAGAAAAAATGCCAGCAAACAGAAGCTCTTTGTATCTTTTGTATCAATCTACTACTACATGATAGTTTATGATTAATGAAAAAAAAACAGAGCAGAAAATATTTTTTGTAATCACCCTATTCAAGTATCTGTGACATTTAAGAAAACATGATGACACTTATGCATGACTGGTAATGTTCTTATACTCTAGTGAATTATGCAAACAGAAAAACACACCTGGTACAAACAGGCAGCAGTTCCAAGAAAAAATGCAATAACATAGCTGAAATCTTCACCTTCACTCTGCAAGAATAAAATGAAAAGCCATGTCTTACAATAAAACAAGTGAAATACCAGCCATTTACAGTACGAAAGTTATGAACTGTTGCACGTTAAAACAGTTTCACACATTTATTTATTTATAGCAATTCCTTAACCACACTAAACTGACAGTTAGGACTAATCAGTGCTTACTTACATATCTGCAAAAACATCACGTCCTGGAGTCTGACCAAAATGTTTATTCACAACAAAAAACTCCTGCCAAGATCTTCAAAAGCTTTAAAGATATCCAGCTCTAACACTGGATATTTACCTTCTCCAGATGCCTTTGAAAATTCAAGTCTAAACGCTGGTAACTACCTTTAATAGCAACTTCACAGATTTGTGCCTTTCTAAAGCTTCACAAAATGGAAACGAGGTAACAGGAAAGGACCCAGCCTGGCCACTAGGGTGGGGTAAAACTGCACGAGAGAAACGAAGGCAGCTCTGTGCTCATGCAGTGACAGCTAACAGCAGCACAGGAATTTATCACAGACTTGGGAAATAGGGTTCTCTTGAAGGAAAGATGGAAAAATTGACTTGAAGTGACAGATTTCTCTACTATGTGTTTTGAAAACAAAACAAACCCTTTAACTTTATTCAAACGGGTTGTTACAGTTCCTACAGAGCTGAGCAGAGTAAATTTCCATGCTCAATGACTATTCTAACTGCATTTCTAGCAAACATCTGCAACCACCAAAAACTTTCCTAGGAAATCAACAGGCACTCATGCAAATGTTTGTCCTTGAGAGCAAATATCACTTGAGAAGATGGTGGTCCATCCACAAGGACAACTTGTGTCTGCTGAGAGGGTGCTCAGTGTGAAGCATTCCCATGTCCTGGGCTGACCAGGAAACACTTTGCATGTCTGCACACAGAAGTTACATCCACAATGCAGCAATTTCTACCCAGTGAGTCTTTGCCCCAGTGCCAATGCACATGTGGTGGAGTAGTTACAGATTGTAACAGAATTTTATTAACACCCAAATAAAACCACTGATTATAAAGCAAACAGTAATTCAGAGACATGCTTTTGAATGACTTCTCAGAACACGTTCCATTAATTGTGTTTTGGATTACTTCTCCCTAAACCTTGTGGACTTTTCCATAATAAAGCAAAGTAAGGGAAATTTTAATGGATTTTTAGTGTGCCTCATTTGTCAGAAATGAAAATTATCTTCCATCTGTACTGCAATCTATTACCTCCAGATGCAATAACATAGAGAATAAAATTAACTGGATGTCCTGTCATGCCTTAAATAGATTAATCTAACATTTGTGTTCTTTTTTAAAAATCAGCTGCAGAAAGGTAACAAAATAACTTCTAGCAACAGCACACTAACTGACAAATCTGTTCAGTACTACTTGTACTACAGCATACTTTAAAATCATTCCTATTTATAAACTGAGAATTGTGCATAACACAGAAAAACCTAATTAGGGATAAAGTAGAGATGCAGGTTCACTTAGTCTTTCTTTAAAAAACAAACCAAAGACAGCTCAGAAAGAAGGACCCAGCATGGAACATTTTCATTAATCTTGTTCATCTATCAACTAGCCCTCCCAAAATGCTGAGACTCAACAGTACTGTTTATTCAATCTTTACATATATCAATACTATGTAAGATAGCTGGAATACAGGAATTCTTCTTTACCTTATTTCCCATTAGGTATCAAAAATATTGCAGTTAGCTGCTGAAAGGGCTAGAGACCAAGACTTACAAGGAGCAGCTGAGGAAACTGGGACTGTTTAGCCTGGAGAAGAGGAGGCTTGGGAGAGAACTTACTGCTCTCTGCAACTACCTGAAATGAAACTGTAGCAAGGTGGGGGCTGGGCTCTTCTCCCAGGTAACAATGGGTAAGATGAGAGGAAATGGCCTCGTGTTGCATCAGGGAAAATTTCTTCACTGAAAGGGCTGTCAAGCTGCCCAGGGAAGTGGTTGAGTCATCACCCCTGAAGGAATTTAAAAGCCTTGTGGATGTGGCACTTTGGAACATGGTTTAGTGAACTTGGCAGTGCTGAGTTATGGTTGGACTCAGGTCTTTTCCAACCTAAATGACTCTATGAAGTCCAGATATGTTTAAATAAAAAGACTCTCTACCAGCCAAACAAGAGGATTACCATTTTCTCTCAGAAAAGTTCCATGGGGTTTTTAGTTTCTATATCTATAACCACAAAAACAACCATTAAATTGTAAGGAAGTCTTAGTTTTTGGGGTTTTTTTGTGGCAACACATAGGAACTTTCTGTGCATGCCTGCCAAGTACTAGCAGCATATTCACCTGAATTGCTTGAAAGCATAAACCATTATTAGTGACACTGTAGCACTTGTAGGAATACAACCAGCACAAAAAATGGAACAGAAAGAAACTGAAAGGCTACAGGGAGGGTCATAGTAGAGATTTTACAGAAAAAAAAATTGGTGTGAGGGGGTTGTTTGCTGAGGGGAGTTTAGAAGAAATTACTTGACAATTTTCTGACACTGATCCTTTCAATACACAATGAGAAATAAGGTTTAATAAATACAAACAAAAAACTACAGAAGTTCTCCTAAGAAACAACTTTACAAAACCTGCTTAAAGATTCCTGCTCTGTGAACTTTCCAAAAAAACTGCCCAGATTTTCAAAGCTGTTCATCATTTCACTCAAGGGTTTTTAAATAGCATCTATAGAAATTAAACACCTCTTACCCTGGCATAAATTTAGCAAACAGAACATTATGTTCACATCCTCACTGCTCCCAAGGTACCAGGGAAGGAGCTGGCCACCCACCTGCCACTGCTGCTGGAACTCACAGCCTCAATGAATGAGGCAGACACTCCAGGAGGATGCACAGATAATAAACAATACAGGATTTGTAACAGAGGCCTGACCTCACAAACAGTACTTTTGAAATAAAACTGGCACAACTCAGCTCATATAGAAACTTCTAAAATGAAAACTGTGGTTGCTATGATGCATAATTTTTAAATTCATAAGCATGTACAATACCTGGAGAAGGCTTTCTATGGCATGGAAGCCACGGATTAAATTCAAAGCCCCACATAACAGACTAAGCACAAATGAGACAATCCCTGGCAGAGTCACAGGTTCCAGACGTTGGTGAGGAGCTGCAAAGCAGATCAAAAGAAGATATCAAAGGTCAGAGCAATGCCTTCAGAAATTCAATAAAATAATAATCTCATTTGTCAGTGGTTTCTAGCTCAAGAGATCGCTGAAGCAAACCAAAAAATGTCATTTCTGTTTTCTAAAAAGACAAAACATGGTAAATGTTTCAGCACAAGGTTTAGCAAAAAGTAAATTTTCCTCCAGTTCACATACGGAATTGTCTTGTTATATTTAGTCTTTATCTCAATAGGTTCCATTTATTCAGTATCTTAGTCATAGCTGCTCAAACATGCCAGAAAATCAAAAGTAAAAGATGCACTTGCTACTGAAATCTGCCCATAACCAGTAAACAGGTAATAAGTCATGTGCCCAAGAGCTTCTCTCACAACCTCCACTCTTCTTTAACACCAATGCATTAGTGAGATATTGAGACTGATTTAGCTTGTTTGCTGAACAGAACACTGAGGCAAAGCTATCACAGTTCCCTTCCTTACAAAGACAGTGTGTGCTACCAAAGACACACATGAAGGGACAGCTCTGAAACTCAGCTGGCATCTGTGCCACAATCTTATATGGACTTCCAGATTGTGCTTAGCATCTTACCAGTAACACACATTAAAATTAAACCACTTTCTTTCCATGCACACCCGCTCCTTCAAGCTTACCCAGGGTCACAAGTATGTAACAGTTATGTATGTTCCTCATTACTGTCCCTTTCCATAATGAATAACAGAAAGCAAATGTGAAAAAACAATGCAAAACTCTTAACAGTCTGGGCAACACTGGGATAATAATGGGACTACTGAGCTGTACTCCAATCATTCTGTTCAAATCAACCAAGTGTAAAGATGTGAACAATGAGGTTAATGAACTGTAACATTAATAGAGAGGGGGTGTCAATCCCAGTTGTTTGTATTGCACAGACCCAGGAAAAAGGTTTTTCAAACAGTTTATGAAGTTACAGAACCTAAAAAAGCCCCAACAAAAGCTATTTTACATTGATAAGCAGGCAGGGCTGTCTAATTAAGAGTGTACAATAAAACAAAAATATACAGGATGAGTTCAGTTAATTAATTTGTGCTGAATTTAATAGTGTATAATCAGTTGGGGTGGTTTTTTTAAACAAAAGTATAACCCATGTTTAACTGAGAGAGCTCACTGCTTTTCTAACTGTAGAGCACATTACTCCCAGCAATCACTCAGTTAAGGTTAGATATACTAGATGTGCTATTTGCATACCAAACCACTCTTTTTCAATGACTCCCAAATGGTTATTTTGTTTTGGGTTTTTTTTAATCATCTCATCTAGAGAGTGGAAAAAAGCTGAGGGTGTATATGACTGTTCTTAGCCAATAGCAATTCCATTGCATTAACTGGTGGATAAAATTAGTTCACTGCTCTCCACTTGCAGCCCTCCAGAATATCTCCTTTTCCCCACGTATTGGGTAACGTAAAATCATTGTGTGCTAAAACAGCACTTAAAACACCTCTTTGAGAACCATGGGGGAAAAGTAAAGAGCGTGGTCAGCTAAATCAACAAAGTCTATGAAGGTTCATAAAACAGTAACTTCTCTCTTGTTAAAATACAAAAAAAAAAAATATAAAAAAGGATATTATGTACCATTAATAATGTCATTAAACTCTCCAGAGTGTAACAAATTTTAGTGTTACTATCAAAGCAACAAGACTCATTCATACACAAAAAGATGAAGGCAAAACCAAAGAATGAAGAAGGAATGTCAGAGAAGGCAGGGTAAAGGGCAACTGACTTCAAACTGGTACATCCATCAACCTTAGAAATTTGATTAAGTGCCATATCAAAAATTCTCAGTTCAAATAAAGCACAAATTCTGAATTTAATGTTGACACTTACATAAAAATTCAGGCAATTTACATGACATAAGAAGCTACATTACTTGTAAGAAAGTTTATTTAAAACTAAAATGTAAAAAAAACCAGACAAAAGCATGGAGTACACAATCAAGCAAAAAATAACTTTCATCTGACAACTGTTTCTTCACTGAAAACAAGCTCAGAAAACAGTAATTTCATCCTAACCTGAAACATCATATATCAGCATGCTGTGACCTTATTTCTAATGCCTGCCAACACCTACGTGTACCTTTGCAGGAAGATTGTATCCACAATCCGCACACTTTATGCTTCCCACATGCAGAATTACCCTGTTCCTCACTGCACAGCTCTCAGGGGGAGAAGGCTGCTCCTGCAGGCAGTGCCAGCACAGCAGGGCTGGATCCCCACCCTGGCTACACACCCAGCTCCAGCAGGAGCAAGCGAGAGCCACTGCCTCCCCCACGGCCAGGCCAATGCCTCCAACTCTGCCCTTCTGCACAACAAAACAGGATCTGCATCCACCTAACTTCCCACCTCTGGGTGCCCTCCAACTTCATTTAACACAGCTCACTCCACAAAGTCCTACTTTTTAACAGTACAGCATATTCAGGAAATTCCACTAGGCAAAACATCTTTTTGTGAGAATCTTTTTGCTCTGTCCTTAGAGCAAAGGAGAAACTTGGAAGTCCAGCCAACTGAGTGGGCAGCAAACATCCAGAGAAAGTTCTTTTCAAGGGTGGAGAGAAGTGATGAATGTAAAGAACTACAAAACCATTAGCAGACTTTCTAAAAAAGACACTGTTATTCAATAGCATCTAAAATGTGAAGAGCTGAAGAAGTAGCAAAGTGCCAGCTTCTCATAATGTACAGCCCTTTGATGGTGAGTTTCTACAGCAACTCAGGGAAGGAAGTGGATAACTGAACAGAGATCTGTGGAATTCAGAGGAAGAAGAAAGTTAAAATCAACTGAAAGAGAAACAGAAGAAAAAATGACATGGAAAGAAAAGAAGACAACAGAATTTCTTCTGTAAGAAGTTGTGGAAGGTAAGTAAAAGAAGGTAAGTAAAAAAACCAGACAATCACCTGCCAATTATTGTTGAATCTTCTTTTTTACTTAAAAGGGAAATGGTCCCTATGTTTTTTAATTTAGGTCTATATAACCTTCCAACACTCTTATTTAAAAAAAGTGATAAAAATCACATCTCCCACTACATGAACAACTTTTAAAAAACAGCCAATTTTGACACAGACTGAATTCTCTCATGCTTATTGTTTTTTCTTTTTCCAACTGCAGGAAGTTCAAATCTAGACAATTTTCAGAATTAACCAGCTCCCTGTCTGCCACCATAACCCTTTCCACAAAGCAGGATTATATGAGAACATAAGAGTAAACAACAACATAGGAATCAAAAGTGGCACGAGTGGTATTACAGCATTACATACCTTTAAAAAGAGCCCACACATGTTAAAAGATGACAAAGGTATGTACAGTGCTGCTTAGACAATTCCACTCTTTAAAACAATTTAAACACCTTCACACTTTTCCTTTAATCATTTTCCTGACTCTAACTCCAATACTGTTAAATTGCAAATACAGAGATTGTAAGCTATTTCTACACTGCCTCACAGCACCTGGATTCTCAGAATCAGGGCCCCAGAGTACAAACAGGGCACCCTACTGGTTTTGTTTGGTTTTCATCTTCCATAGAAAGCAGTTTTCAATCTTCTAGAGTAATCCTCATGAGTAAGTACATAATAAGGATAATATACTGGCAAAGAGATCCCATTTACGTATACATATACATAAACTGCACAAAATCACATTTATTACAACATTGTAGGAGGTGTTTAGATTTATGATTGCAATTCTTTGATTTATGATTGCACCCTGACACTGTAAAGTGAACAGCATCAGTGTGTGCCTGCTCAGGATAATTTACAGACAGCAGTACTTCTGGGAAAAAAAGGAAAATATATTAACTAATTAAAATCAACACTTCCTTCCATTCTATTTATGATTTTGGTTCACTAAACTTGGAGGACTGAAATCAGATGATGTCAATTTCACATGTGGAGCCCATGTATCAGCGCAAGGATTTGGCATTTTGTTTCTGTCCTGCTGGGAAACATCTGAAGATGGGCCTCAAACCCATTCAGAGGATTCACTGAATAGCACAAACCTTTAACCCAGCTCAACCCCACAATTCCACATTTAACTCCTACATGAAGTAAATTAAAGTTTAAAAAAATTAATGACTACTCAAATAAATTTGGCAGCTTTATACAAAATGGCAATTCCTAACATTGTACATAAGGCACTCATTTTAGAGAGTGCATCTCTAGCCAGCACAGCTCTCTGGACTTTCACCATTGCAAAGGCTTCCTAAGGAGATGCTTCTCCCTCCAGCTGCTCTGACTCCTGACACTGCTCTCAGCTTATGTCAACAGAGAGTCTTACTGGGCAGAAATATTAAAACTTCTCAGAAATCCTAAAAGGTAAAAAAAAAAACAAAAAACCATCTTCTTGTTAAGTGCTCATCTTCATTAACAGGGCTTTTTCCCTTCAATAAAGCAGTCTAATGGACAGAGCCATTTCTTCCTCTGAGTGCCTCAAGAAGGTAAGCATTTGGAGCAAGAGGCAAAACAGACATCTGAGCTAAAATACACATAAGGTCCTATCAGCTTTATGTTTTAGAAACATGAAAAGCTTTTTTTAAAAAGAAAAAAAATTGAATTTTACTGCATCTGTCTCATTTAAGGATGCAACAACACAAGTCTGGAACTTACCTGCAGATATCTTACCAGTACCCTTATACTCCCCCACAGGTACATGAGAAAAGCCATTGGCTGAACCAAGCTCTGACACTGAAATTTGATACGGTGGCCTCAGTTTGATTTCAGTCTGCATATCAGCAAGATTCATCTTTGTGGACAAAGAACGTGTGTTGTTGTATCTCTGTTTGGTCCTCTGAATGAAATTATCTGTGCAAATTTAAAATAAAAAGGTATTTTTCTATGGGCTTTGTTAATTACAAAATCCAAGACCATGCAGCTTTTCAGTTCACAAACTGAAGTATATGGCTTGAAACATTTGTATTTATCTTGGATTTTTAACACTATTTCTGTTTTGTGCCTAATACATCATGGGTTATTTAATTCTGCTGTTAAAAAAAATTAAGCTCTAAAAATCTAATTATGTAATAACTGAATAAAATAATGACTTTTCATTGCATGAGACTGAATGCATTTCTAATACAATGGATTTACTGCACTTATTCTAGCTTTTCTGTTAGTTTAGTAAACACCCTTATGAAAAAAATATGTTGTGGAAGAAAAAAAGTGTTCATAAGAAATCTTCACAAGGAGGACAGTAATGTCATACAGAAATTGTCATTAACTGACTGAATTATAGACAGGAGTTAACCAACTGGAGTACCTTCCCCCGTGTTTCTAAAACTGCAGTTCTCTTTGCTCTAATGTGTTTCATAAGAATATCTAATTACAGTAATTTCTAATACATAGTATTAAAGCAACATAAATTAATGGAATTTGTAACAGCTGTTATCTGATATATATGAGATGAGTTGCATTTGGAGACTGAAGATTAAATGCTCCACTACATCATAAGAGAGGTAAAAATTTCTCCCTTTCATATACTGAACAAGAGATAGCACAGCTAACATGAAACTGCAATCTTTTCCTTGAGAAATTTATGAAGCTCAATGACTTCACAGGTTAAGTATTTCAACAGGTATGAAGTCAAGCAATTCCTGGTATCACTACCAGAAGATGAATTCCAGAGTTGCTCACACAAGGCTTAAACCAAAACCTACTGGAATGAACAGAAGTAACTTTGGATAAAACTCTAGTAGCCTAATTTAATGCCCCCAGAAGTATTTCTTTATTGACTCTAACAGCAGTTAAATCAGATTCTAAATCTACCTGAAACAGAGCTATAAATTGCTTTGGACATTTCTTGTGGGCATTAAGTTGTATCTATTTAAATTCTCATTTGTCTTAGTATGAGAATGAAGGGGAGAAAGTCAGATCCTTACCAAACTCTATAAAACAGTATGGTCTGATAGCAGTATTCGTCTTCATCATATTGTAGGTAGTGATGAACTCCTTCTGAAGCTCATCCAGGAAACAGAAAGCCAGGACATTGGGATAATTTTCAGTGCACAACATCATATAGCTTACTCCCAGAGAACTTATAAAGCTACAATTGAGAAAACATATTCAAAATTTCAAATTTAAATTCAGCGAATTAAGTGCTTTTCTAGTCTGATCTCATATTCTGTGACCAAAAACCAAAAACTTATCTGGGGTAGCAAAGGAATAAATGTTCACTGAAAAACCCAACAGTATTCTACAAGAAAAACAAGTTACTTTTAGGCAATGTTTTACTTGAACACCACATTGTACAATCATATGAGAAGCTGTTTTACATGACTGTGTATGCAGGTGTCTATATGTGTGTGTGTGCACACATATACACACACTTGTGAAGCAGAAAATAACAAAGCTTTTAGGATGCAGAAACACAGCAGGTTCATCCCATAACAGCTTTTTACTCATCTCAAATGTACAATATGGGATCTGGTGCAGCCCAAAAATGCAAAACCTTATCTTCAGATTCAGGGGAGGGCTGTTGGCTCTTTCTAGAGCATGGGAAGAAATAAAACTGTTCTGTAGAGTTAATTAATTAATAATTCTCCAAAGACAGCTGCAAGGACAACCAGAGATGGCAAATATGAAATCAGAAAAGGACAGTTTGCAACATACATATTCTGTTGCATTTAGGCAATTCATTAATGTTTAGGTTTTCATGCTAACATTCAAATGTCTTTAAAATCTTGCTGGATAACTTACAATATTAAGAGTAATCAAAGACAAAAGCAGTAAAATCTAACCTAATTCAGCCTTATAGCTTATTCTTAAAAGTTTGTTTTAAGCTAATCAGTTTACAGGCCAACTGTAGTTAGCCTGAAAAAAAAAAAAAAAGATTGAAACAATTTAGTCCATCCTGGGCTTTAATCCAAGAGATGCTGCAAACTCACATATACCTACAGGAGATGGAGAGGTCTTAGCACTTTCTAGGATCATTCAGGTGGTACATTGTTCCACTACTGTAACTTCTACATGGTTAACTAGGGGCTAAGATGAAGTTACTCACCTCACTTAAAATATCTGAATTAGAATCAGAATTTTGGTCAGTTTAAGAGGAAGTGAACTATAAACAATAAAGAATTTCTTCTAAATATCTAATCCAAACATACCCTTTCATTCAGTGTAAAGCCACTCTTCCCATGATGTTGTCCTATGACTTTGTGCCATTATAAAGGAACTTCCATGAAAATCTGAATAGCTTCAAATCCTTCTACAATTGCTCAGGTTTTAAATTTCTGATACATAAATAGTGCCAAGAATTAATCTTACTTTGATTAAGCATTTCTAATGTGCACAGTTAACTTTTTCACTTACAGAAAGACACAACCTAGGATGTTGCAAATACTTAAATGAGATGCCTTACTTTATATTATACTGTCCAGTTTTCAGAGTACATCTATCAGGAAGCTGAGAAAGTTTTTTTGAGAGCATTTTAAAATATTTTCTACATTCTTGCATTCCCGTGCTCTGTTCATAATCAGTAGATGCAGAAAGTGGGAGTCCATCCCTCACGCGGACCACAGAGGCAGATAAAATCATAGACATTGCCAACAGAGTTAACAACAGCCTGCAACAAAACACAAATCAGGAGCAATCAGAATTAAGGTAAATGCACAGACAACAGAGACAACTGTGATGAATCAAACGTCTCCAACTGTACACTGGGTTCAGGCCTCAACTGGGGCACAGTCAGGATTTCCAACTGTAACTCAGACTAGAGTCTTAATTGAACAGGACCTACTAATCTACACAAGCCACAAAACAGTTCTTCAAACTTTACATTAAATCAAAACATTCAAGAGTTTAGCAAGACAAGTATTAAAAGGATTACTGAGCATCAGTACACAAATTTGTTCTCCTCCAAGTGGGCGAACTGCTAGAATTTATATGAAGCCAAAAGCAAACACTTCCTCAGCTCTTAACACTGCTCTGCAGACTCCTACCACATACTACACACCTAGCACTTCAGACACTATGAAAAAATATTTTTGCCTCCCTCAGATGATGCTACTCAAGTTCCATACAGTCACAAACTGCAAGAGGAAACATATTTCTGGATACAGCTGAAATATGCTTTTGTATGTGACACTGACATGTTTACAGCACCTTTCAAACTATGACGTCCAGGGTGCTTTACAAGCCCCAGCAGCTGAATGACTGCATTCTCACAAGTCAGAAATCCATCTTCCCCAAAAAGACACTACCTCTTCACAAAAGAGAGGAAATAGCTATTTTTACCTGAACTCCCATCTTCTCTATTTCCCACTCCCCAAAGACTATATATCCATTAGGAAACTTAATGAATAATCAACAATATTCAGGCTTTTCAAGGTTATTTACTCCTCAGAGAGAAAGAGGCATATCATAACGTAAGCACTAAAAATGTGTTGTCATTTTCAGTTTAGTGAATTCAGCTTCATCAGCAGTCAAACCTCAAACTCCTCTGAGATCCATCACATTAGCTGAATAAATTCCAAATTAACACCCTCATATTTTACTTGTACAGCACATCAGACTCTCCCCAAAGCTGTAACTGTTGACTGCAGTCTGCTGAACACCTTGGGGCTTTTATCAGGTGCCTTGGTTATTTCAGCACTTCACTGGAGAATTCCCTCCTGAACAAAGTGCTTCCATCAGCTGGACACAAAACCAGAAAACAACCTCAACTCCAGGACTTCCTCTAGATCAGCCTGCTGGCATGAAGCATGCAAGAAACTAAACCCACAGTTCTAGAAACTTTTACCTATCCCCGAGTTCATGCACATGTTCCCAGAAGGACAATTCACATGGAATGCACACAGACTCATTCTCTTAACTATGCTGCTGATCATATAACCAAGGAGTGAACCAAGCAGCTCAAGAGCACGACAAAATTGCAGAGGAGCTTTAAAATGTAATGGTTCTCAGCCAATACCCATCTCTATCACTCAGAACTCGATCCTGACAGGGACTTTTGGGAGCTTTATCAATATAAACAAGAGCAGTGATGCCATGGCACAGTTTAAATATCCCTTCATTAACTTATTGCACAAAATGTAATTTCATGGATGTGCATTTCCCCTGATGAAACAAATAACTTACTTAGCACCTAACATGAAGAAAGGAACACAGCTCCATGTCCTGTTTCAGGAAAAGGGAGGGAATAGGACTGCACTGCAGGAGAAACCCGGAATCCCGCAGCCAGCTCCGCTGCTGTCAACAAAGATATTCTGTTCACTTGGTAAATTATCTCGATGGTTAAAGTTCATGTTGAGCTATCTGATGAGATAAGAACAAACAAAAAAAGTTAATAAATACATTTAGTGGGTAACAATGCATTTCAGCTCTGTTCTGTGAGGCCTTACATATTGGAAAGGCCTGAAAAGAACTAAGGGAGGTTAGTCAAAAGATCATCAAAGAAAAAGAAAACTAGGATAATAGAGATATTAAAATGTATCTGTGTTCTTTAAGTGAAGTTCAGGAAGTCCCATCACTTGAGGCATTTAAAATGGGAAAACATGCTATCCATCTGCACAGTACAGGAGCAACTGAGGTTTACACAATCTTTGATTCTGAACCCCATCATTCCCCTCATCAACTGTGTTTCAATAATTCATCATCTTCTCTGCTCAGAGCACTTCAGGAACAAAACACAGCACAACCACAGCTCCATTTCCAAAGCATTAAGATTTTCAATGTTCAATCTCATCATAGTTGCTTTGCTCCTACAACTGAGAACAAAGAACACAAATACCACTAACAGTAACATGAACACACAGACAAAGCAAATGGTAAAGACATGTTTAGAGGTATTCTTTCAACTTTTATGTCTATTCTGTATGTAAATAAATATTTGTACAAATCTTGAACAAAACTTTGAGACTCCTACATATATGCAGAGAAAAACAGGCTCTATAACAGAAGACAAGCCTCTATTGGAACCTGCCAATTCTCTTAATATACTATGAAATCACAAAACGTAGAAACCGTGTTGAGCTGAAGATCTCAACACCAGTTAGGTTTTGTTACAATCATCTTAAAAAGCCACCCAGTGAAAATATGAACTTTTTTCTCAGCCTCCTAACAGCAGAATCAGAAAGCTATCTAAAAACCAAAGCTAATAACAGAAAACTACTTTGGCTGGAAGATCAGACACATGTCAAGAGATGTATAATGCACATATTGTAACAGAACATTCAGCCTTACCTGAAAATGTATTAACAAAGAAAAAAAGTTTATTAAATCTACCTTATCCAGCTCTCAAAACAATATAGCTTTTCACAAGGAGCCAAGTGGTAAATCTGATATGCACTTACATATTTAGAGACTGAAGAAAGATAAATATGCTTTCAGAGCTACCTCTAAATGTTTTTTTGAAACATCTGTTCAAAGCTGCATTAAGTAATTCACCAAATTACAAACTTCATACATTTTCCTCCAGAAATTCTACATCCCTCAACCACCTCAAGATGACAAAAGACTGCACTGCCACTACAAATGGTCTGTGAATCTCTAACAGGTGCAAGGAAATTAACAGATCAGGTTTGCTGTCTCATTCCATGACAGAACTGTGGAATACCAAATCCAACCAGCAGCAGTTTGGCTCACAGGTATCACAGAGGGTCCAAAACATGTCACCAGCCAGTGGAACCCCTTGTCACAGGCTGCTGTCCATGCTACAATGTCATGTGAATTTAAGAGGCAACTGGAAAAGTTCACAGAAAAACTACCAGGGGCATTAAAAGCAAGTCACAACCCTTTGCTCAGAGGGATTCTGACCCCCACACAAACACCCACAGGGAGGGTACATCACAGAAGCATCACTCGCTCCATGCTTGCACCATTCCTGTTTCCCTCGGTTAGTATTTACTTCTGCCCCATCATTGTTGATTTCCCTTTCATAGCCTCCCCACAAATGAGAGAACTCATGGAAAAGAGGAGCATGGAGAGAGCTGCCCACAGACAGGTAAGGGTCAGCAGGGTGGCCATTCCTCTGCTGCTGCACCTTCCCAAGAGCTGTCCAATTCCTCACACACGTCAGCATCCACTGCTTCACAACCAGGAATCAGCACATGTGCCTGTTTCATTTCCTCCCAGGAACCAGAAACCTCAGGTGATGGAAAGCAGAGCCTGTTTCACTGTACTTGTTTTTTTGAAGCCATATTCAATTATCATGTTGTTTATTTCTGTGTTATGATGGTACTTGATCCTGAAGCAGCATCTAGGAAAGTCCTAGAAACACTGAAAACAGAAACTAGAACATTCCAGCCTTTTGTAACAAATTCATCATCTACCTTGTGATGTGACAGCTGTTTTAAACCTATCTGACATAGTCTTGTAACACTTCTAACAAGTGTTTGAAAATGGCTTGTGACTTGATTTGCTCAGGATACTTCACCTAAAACAAACTCTAGCTTTCTCAAAATTCTGAGCAGATCTAGTGTAATGGCAAGCCTACCCTCCTGCACCTGATAACCTTCAGCCAATTTAATCACAGCATTTCTTGCTGGGATGTCTGCCTCTCATAAAAACTTTCCATAAAACATAAAATTGGGAAGCGGGTGCAAGCTGCACTCCTGTCTGACACAGAATACAAATAAAACTTCTGCGCTTACTTCAAACGTGTACCTAACAGTGTTGGACAATTTATTGTCCCCACTTCTGAGGGTTGTGACAGCTGCATTACAGAGGAAGGAGCTTAATTTTTTCACTCTACATCATACTTCAGAAACTCGCATTACAAACTGGAGCACTACAGAAGGACACAACAAATAAAGCCACTTTGACATCACTGGATATGATAAGACAAGGGAATAATCCTAAATCACCAGCCAATATAATCCTTTCCATAAAGCCAGAGGAAAGAGACCTTAGGGGCAGAATCAAGATTCACAGATTCAATGAGATTGGAAAAGACCTCTGAGATCTTCGAGTGCAGCCTGTGACTGGACACCACCACGTCACCAGCCACCACTGACTGCCACGTCCAGTCTTTCCTTAACAGGTGGCTCCAGGCAAAGTGACTCCATCGCCTCCCTGGGATCCTAATCCAATACAAAACCACCCCTTCTGAAGAAATTCCTCCTAACATCCAAACAATTCAGACAAACGAAGGGAGCGGAACCAGTTGCATCCCAAAGTTTGGGAGCCTGACCCTTTCACCTGGCACCTACTTACGTGGCAGCTCCGACCGGACCATCTGCAGCCGCAGCAGAAGCGCTGACTCAGTGGTCACTGAGGCGGGTCCGCACCGCCCCAGGACACAGAACTTCACACACCCTCCCGCAGAGCCTGGAGAGGGGCGGAGACCCCTACACACAGCGGGCTCCCGCTACCGAGCGCCGCTTGCCAGGAGCCCCGAGCGGCCCTGCCTGCCTCCCGCGCCCGCCCTGCCCGCGGCAGCGGCGCTGCTGCCACCACCACCCCCCGAGACGGCTGCAGCGGCCGCGCTGCAGAGGCGCGAACGCAGCCGGCCCTGAGGCTCCGCGGCCGGGCCTGGGGCCGGCAGCGGCGGTGGGCGGGAGGGGAAGGGAGTGAGGGCGAGGCCGCGGCGCGGGCGGGGCGGGCAGGGCCGGGCGGCGGCTCCGGCCGCGGGTCCCGCCCCGCCCGCGCCCCTCACGGCGGCGGCCCCGTGCGGGGGGGCGCGAGCCGTACCTGGGCAGCGGGGCGGCGGCGCGCGGCTCCCGCCGGGCATTGTGGGAGCGGACACGTCCGCGCGCGCCGCAGCGCCCCCGCGCGTTACGGCCGAGGCGCTGCGGGGCGGGGCCGCCCTGAGGGCGCTCCCGGCGCCGCCGCCTCAGGGGCCCCGGCCGGCCCCGCTGTCGACCCGCGGAGCTTGGGCGGCTGCCCTAGGGCTGCGGGGCGGGCCCGGGGCCGCTGTGTGCGAAGGGTACGCCGCCCTTGTGTGGCTGGCATGCGACTGCCACGCTCCCGGGCCAGCCTCCCGGGCGTGGGTGTGTCTCACCGCCCGGGCGGGAGCAGCCGAGCACCGGCAGCGCTGTCTCACACAGCCTTGTCTGAGGCTGAGTTTGTCATAGAATCAGTCAGGTTGGAAAATATCTACGGAATCATGGGGACCAACTTATGACCCAGCACTACCCTGTCAACCAGACCAGTGCACACGCAGTCTTAAACACCTCCAAGGATGGTGACTCCAACTCATCCCTGGGCAGCCCAGTCCGGTGTCAAATCACCCACTCTGTGAAGAAGTGCTCCTAATGACCAGCCTGAACCTCCCCTGGTGCATCGTCTCCTTGTCTGTGCCCTGGGAGAAGAGCCCAACCCTCAGGGTCTGCAGCCTCCTCCCAGGGAGCTGTGGGGAGCGGTGGGGTCAGCCCCGAGCCTGCTCTCCCTCTCCCTCTCCCTCTCCCTCTCCTCCTCTCCTGCAGGACAATTGGCTCTGCTGTCAGCGCAGCTGAGCTTTAGGAGCTGTGCTCTTTGGGTTCTCCCGTGTAACAACTTCTGACAGCGGCTGGCTGGTGGCCACCAGGTTTAATGGATGACACAGCCCTTGGCGTGTGCCTGGCACTGTGTGGATAACCAGGTGTGTTTGGGGTCCTCTGCTGCTGGCACCTGTGTGATGGGGACAGAATAGCCATCAGCAAAAGTGCACTGAGATGAGACCAGATGCTAGGCTAATCTCACTCATTTCTCAATAAATCAACTGGGCATGATTGAACAATAAATGACAATTCAAAAGTACACTAGTAACCTTAGAGTGAGGTTCCTATTTTAAAACTTACTTTACCGATACAAGGATAATTTTCTCCCTGTACCACTCTTTGACTTCACTGGTTTTGTACCAAATCACACCGGTTTAGCCCATTGCCTCAAATCTGAAATGAAAGCAGCTTATTTCCTTGCTATCTCCTTTTAATTTCCCCTTCCATCTGTTACTACTTCACTATCCAAGTGCCTGTAACACGGCAGTGTTAGGATGGAAGTAACACACCTCACACTCTGGACTCTCAGGCTCTGCTGAGCTCTGCTTAGGAACAAGGGGATCAGGAAGATGGTATTGGAGCAAATCAATGCTCTTCAGCCTCAACTCTTCCTTCAAGCAATTTTCTGTGGATACCTATGGCAACCCTGGATGTCAGAGGGGCATTGCCCCACTCCCTGTTCCAGTGATCCAAGTGAGGAAAAACAATCTCTTGTGTCACCATGATATTTCCTGAAAAATCCCTTAGCCAGGATTTCTTC